CCCCAAAACCCCAAAACCCCAAAACCCCGCAGTTTAATTTTATAGCAATCTAGATAGAAGATATTATTATTATTCAAATAATCTCAGTTTATAATACATAAATACTTATAAAATGAATCAAGATAATTCTATTAAATTTGTCAATAATCCCGGTTTCGAAGACATGAAAAACAATTATCTAACCTAGAAAGTATTCCAGGAGATAATTGACAAGATTTAGATATAGTAAAAACAAGCTAAAACCATTCATACAGACTAGGTCAGTTAAAAGTAACTAGATGACCATATTTGCTCCTAATTAAAAGAAACTCTGATGTTTTTGAAAGATAAAGTTGGATATGAGGTGTTTCTCTCTGTGATTGATGATGACTAAGAAAAGCTACTAGAAAAGACTAAGCAGCTAAATTAGTTCAAAAATCTAGAGTAGCAAGTGGAATCCTTGAAATAGCACATACACCTGACTATTACCACTATAAAGAAGAGAAATATATTTGAATATTTAGAGCAAATAAATTAAGAATTCAGTAAGCAAGTATCTGAAAGTTAGAAGTTATTGTCAAAGAAACATAAAGCTATTAGTGAATCAATATAAGTACAAGCAAATTTATTCTAAAAATTGCTATAGACTTCATTAGAACTACAGATTTAAAGAAAGCAGTTTGAAAAGATCATCTAGGATACTCTTGATAGAATGTCATTTTTAGACAACATCCTGCAGGAAACCAAGAATTCGCGCTAAGATTCAGACATCCTTAATTTGGATTAGACAACCTTGACTTAGAGTGTCTATTTTCAAAATAATATGAATAATAGCAATGGCGACTTGAATAACAATAAAACTGACAATAGATTAAGCAATGGCAGAGATTATTAAAATCTTTCTCAAATTAAAGAAGAGAAATTTAATCAAGAAGAGGATAAAAACCAAGATGGAGGTTACTAAAACTCTTAGGGATTAGATGATACTAAAGACAGTATAGAAGTAAGAGCAGATATCATTATTATCAAGGACTACTTTCAAAATGATCCAACCAAGAATTTATTTAAGGAGGAGGCAGATATGATAAGATTCAGACCTAACATCTACTTGAATTCACAACTCGATTTTGATCTCTAACTGGCAGTGAAAAAAAGACAGTATAAGATCAATGAAAATAAGTTTTAATAACCTTAAGGATTTAAGATACCCACAAGTATTGTTATGACATAATATGGTTGTTTAATTGAGGCTGGTTTGGACGAGACCTTGAATTTCAGGTAAAAAGTAGGAAAGATATTCACCTAGTTTAAATAGGTCGATCTTAAATCTCAAATATTCTCTATGACTGTTGCTAAACAATATCTTTTGTGTTCGTTGTAAAATTAAACTATGCAAATATTTGAAGCTAAATAGCCATATGAACTAGTGAAATCTATCAAGACGTAATCCACAGTAAAAAAGTATTTCAAATATTCATAAGACATACCCTCATTTAATCCTGAAGCAGAGATAAGAATTGATCATGATGACAAGGATAAATACTTAATATTTGGAGAGTAAGATGGGTTTATTGAGATATTCAATACTGAAGCACTGAAAATTGTTTATATAGGCTAGCTGCGTAGTAAGGTGGACATCTTTGACATATGTAAGACCTCCTATGCATAGTATGAATATGCTGTAGCATAAGGTCAATATGGAGGTGGCCTATTTTTCATTAGAATTTTCTAAGATGAGGCATCTTAGAGAAGTGAACACGATATTGAGGCTGAATTTTAAATGACTCAAGATTATGAGGAGATCTACTTCAAGAACTAAGCTGTTTGCTGTGTTTAAGAAATAGGTTAAGGCCTAATCCTTTGCTGCGTCTAAGGAACATATAACTTGCAAGTAATTTCAAGACTAGAGAGAAAAGTAGTACATCATATTCAGAATCCCTCTTAAGATTTGAATTATAATTGTCTCATACCATTTATGGGCTTTGATGGGAAAAAATACCCATATTTACTTTTAAAGGATGAAACTATGGTATCAATTATAAATACAAAGACTTATGTCGCTAAAAAAATCATAAGCTCACTTTATGATAGTTGCAGTAATAGCTGTTCACTTATCTAATATGTAAATGAGCAGCCAGAGACTAAGGAGCAGGTGTATCAAATTATAAGCTTAGAGCATATGAATGGTGATAAAAGTATTAAAGAGGTGACATTCTAACTTGAAAATCCACTAGTCAAACAAAGCTTAATAAATATTGTTAACTAAGTTGACTGATCTTAATTGGAATAAAGCTTATTTGAGCATAGAATAGTATGGTATCGGTAATAATCGACGAAATATAGACCTCGTAATAAAGTCATAAAAAGATTATGAAAATTATTATCTATTTAAGTTAACCTCCTCTATTTTATTTCCTCGACCCTTAAGGGGTTTTGGGGTTTTGGGGTTTTGGGG